GACCTAGTTCTTCGCTTGGAAACTCTCAATATATAGCAGTGTATTTTTTCAGAAAGTCTTTCACGTTGATTTTTGGTCACATTTTGTAGGTAGGAAGGAAACCAAAATTCCTTCCTTCCTCCCTCCCTCCGTCCCTACCCCCTCTCCCTCTCTCTCTCTCTCTCTCTCTCTCTCTCTCTTTCTCTCTCTCTCTCTGAATGACCGCTTGGAAATACCCTAATACTAATGTAATTTAAGTAAAACACAAAGACAATTAACGCTGAAAAATCTCCACATCTAGATGAAGAAGAAACTTGAAGCAAAAGAAATGTAGTTCTATAGAAAAATATTGAGAAAACCATGGCCCGAACAACGACGAAGTTTTAAAGAAAATCGAAACATTTACACCTAACATCAAGAAAATACAGTTAAAATTTCTAGGGCTCATATTGAGGAAAGAGGGTTTAGAAAATCTGATACTCACAGGATAGATTGCAAAAGGAACAGAGGAAAACAACATATCATCTACCGAGTGAGTCTGAGTAAATGTATGGCAGAGTAAAGTTTAGGAAAGATAACAAAAAGACAAAATTTATTAAGAGCTACAAAAGACAGGAAATTGTGGAGAGCCATGATCATCAACCAATGATCGATATTACATAAGAGTTCACTACTCTTTCCTTTGTTTTAACGATATTTCTCTGTTTCTTAATACCTTACTTAGTTTTTGGAAGGCATCTTTCGCTATCCCAATGTGTCTTTTCTTTTGTTTCTAACGAAATTCTCCTGTTTCTTAATACTCTGCTTAGCTTTTGGAAGGCATCTTTCTAACGAAATTCTCCTGTTTCTTAATACTCTGCTTAGCTTTGGAAGGCATCTTTCCTTTATCCTTTTCCTTTGTTTCTAACGAAATTCTCCTTGTTTCTTAATGCCTTTTCCTTTGTTTCTATCCCAAATTCTCCTTTGTTTCTTAATAATACTTTGCTTAGCTTTTGGAAGACATCTTTCCTTATCCCAATGTGCCTTTTCCTTTGTTTTTCTAACGAAATTCTCCTGTTTCTTAATACTCTGCTTAGCTTTTGGAAGGCATCTTTCCTATCTATCCCAATGTTTTAATACTTTTCCTTTGTTTCTAACGAAATTCTCCTGTTTCTTAATTTCTTTTCCTTTGTTTCTAAATATTTTCCTTTTTGAAGTCATCCAATCGCTTTTTTGAAGGCATCTTTCCTTTTGGAAGACGTCTCCCAATGTGCCTTTTCCTTTTGTTTCTAACTTAGAAATTCCCCCAATGTTTCTTTTGTTTCTAACGAAATTCTCCTGTTTCTTAATACTTTGCTTAGCTTTTGGAAGGCATCTTTCGCTATCCCAATATGCCTTTTCTTTTGTTTCTAACGAAATTTTCCTGTTTCTTAATACTTGCCTTGGCTTTTGGAAGGCATCTATCGCTATCCCAATGTGGCTTTTGCTTATTTTACTTTGTTTCTAACGAAATTCTCCTGTTTCTTAATACTTTGTTTTGCTTTTGGAAGGCATCTTTCGCTATCCCAGGGTGCGTTCGGATTTCAGTGGCTTACTTCCCGTCCTTTGTTAAATCACTTTGCACATATTTAAAATGTTTTACTTGTTTGATTTTACTATATCCAGTTTGTAATTTGCACTCAGCCAAATATAAATTGTATAAATAAGTTGTTTTATTTTTTAGTTGTGACGCCATTGTCATCTCTAAGATTTGTTGTGCTTTCAATAAAATGATGGCGCACGAATGCACTCTAGAATTTTCATTTATGGGAGATATTTTGCATACTTATAGAGTTGTAGCAGATATTCTTCGTATGCTTTTAATTCTTATCAGAAAGTGCAAGAAGTCCTGGGGATGATGCTGATTATTATATTAGTTTAGAAAATATAACAAAAAGATTATTATTCTAATCCCCTTTCATTAAGCCACCCCACTCTTTATTGCATATTGGGAAAAATTCTAATACTCCCATTATACAGGGTGTCCATATAGTTCGTGTGCACTTTAAAAAATTTATAACTTTATTTGTATTTGCGATAGAAATAATCTGTAAAAAATGCTATAAAGTTTAATGTACGTAGTTTTAAGTACAGCTAAAATAACTAACGTGATTTCAGGCATTACTGTAAATCAGTTGGCAAATGTTTTCCGTGAACTGCAAAGTCGTATTACCCTTTGTATTGCTAATGATGGAGGACATGTGGAAACTTAAATAAAATTTCAATAAAACCTTAAAACATAATATAGATTTACTTCTTTCTAATCCTTTTTACAAATTATTTCTATCGCAAATACAAATAAAGTTATAAATTTTTTAAAGTGCCCACGAACTTTATGGACATCCTGTATTATACCTTTTTGGAATTAGGATGGTCATGGAATTGAAAATCTGTCTTTCATCTGGTGCTTGAACATCCAGCATTGGGATTTGTGTCTGGGTGAGGAGGGAACAGTTAAAAATTTAAATTTTAAAATAACTGACAAAAAATTAGTGATATTAACGCTAGAACAAAAACTATGGGTATATAGTACCCATCGCAAATTTTCCTATTTTTAATTACAATTTCCAGTACCTGATTTTCTTACCTTTCTAATGCTTTTTACAAATTATTTCTATCGCAAATACAAGTAAAGTTATAATTTTTTAAAGTGCACACGAACTTTATGAACACCCTGTATTAGACATTTCACTGACTGATTTTCAAATCTCGCAGTTGTTCTCGTAAAATCTCATATTCCACGTACACTGTGTTACCCGAATACCGAGATCTTCAAATTACTTCCCACAGTCCGTCACAATATGTTGTTTCTTTATTATTGTTACACTCTCTTTTATTCTCACGCTTATTGTTTAATATATATATATATATATATATATATATATATATATATATATATTATATATATATATATATATATAACATTCAGTCATTCATTCAAATTTGACTCATTCATAAAACGCGGAAATCTGTAAAATGTACGATGCGTTCTTGCTACAGAAAAGTTACAGGACTACTGATCAAGTTTAAGTCGTTATATAATTTGAACTGTCATGTCGACATTTGTTAGTAAGCAAGAAAAAGAGTATGCCAGCAGTGATAGTTGTAAACCATCTTTGTATTCAATTAATTCAAGACTCAGACATGAGTGAGTGCGGAACAATCTCCTAGTCAGCTAATTGGTAGGAAATTGCCATCAGCAATTATCATGGCGGAATCTGCCAGCTCACTACTTCCGTCCTTCAAAACTTCCGGATTTCATCACATCCGGTCTCTTCTGCCTGTGCGCACCAGTTTTCTGTCGATTTTTTTTATTATTTTTTAGAAAGTTCAACCGACCTCATACAACGACGCGACGACAAATAAATATTATTGAATTAGAAAAAAAATATTTCAATTTTAAAAATTAATAATTCTCGCTATTGTTTACAGATACGTGTCGATTAGCCTCGTAATTTTCAAGAACTTGCTGAAAAGCTCTCCGTCCTACAGACACCAAGAACCTGATTAAATAACCACCTCTATTAATGTTAGGAAAACAAACGTACTCCACGGTTTTATCTATTTCCAGGGTCCCTTCTAGAAATTACCAGCAGAGGTAGTCACTTAATACATCACATTGTCTAATGTGGATGGGAAAATTCTATCTTCGGAGAGAAGAGAGCTTACCTAATTAGAAAATGAGCATATAAAATATTACTTTTTTCTTGTATTCGAACATCGATTTTTGACACTACTGAGGCGATCAGTCACAACTCGCGTTTTTATTTCTTAGGTTTACGGATTTCTAAGGGATTTACGTTTTTTGTTGTTTTTGTTTATCAATGTTACTCATTAAAAAAAATTAGTTTCATTTATTTCATTTTGTGGCATATCAACCTCAATGGATTATTTAATGCCGACAACATTTTTAGGACAGATTCGTATGAATACAATATGTATTCTTTGGTTTAGATTGGTTTGGCATTTTTGTTTTACGGCATATCAACACCTCAATGGGTTATGTAATGCCGACAACATTTTTAGGATAGATTCGTATGAATAGAATATGTATTCTTTGGTTTAGATTGGTTTGGTTTATTTTGTTTTACGGCATATCAACCTCAATGGGTTATTTAATACCGACAATATTTTTAGGATAGATTCGTATGAATAGAATATGTATTCTTTGTAAGAAATCCGTCTATAGATAAGGTTTCATTAAAGTATTTTTATAAAGAGGGTTTTTGTCGAAAGTCAAATCTATTGCTAGCATTTTTTAATGTATTGCTGGAAATATCTCTTTTTAAATGTAATGCTGTTATTTTTACTATAAAAATCTATTTTTACACTTTCATAGTATTTTGACCACAGTGGTTAACTATTCGCCCTTAGCTGGGACCCTAACAGGTGCTACCACCCCAGATCAGAGGGGACCTGCGAACAACAACAATTAAAAGGTGATTTGGCGCTTCTCAAAGCATCAAATGCCTTGCTGTCGGATGTAGTTTTTCATCATACCAGGGACGGAAATATTTAGATAAATAAATGAAATAAAATGACATTTTATCGAATTCTGTATTCACTTTTCTTTGCAATACATTATTGCCACTTATCAGGTAGCTCTTGGACAGGTTTTGAATAAAATCCAGCAAGCTTTGATGCGAAAATGTTTTCAACGAAGTCTTGAATCAAGTTTTCCTTCGAGAGAGTTTTCCTCATCAAAGCATTTTACAGAGATCAAGAAAAGTAAGAATCAATTTGAGCAAAGACAGGTGACGGGTTGAGTAGAACAGACCAAACGAATTTCAAAATGGATTCTTGTATTATTAATGTTGTATGCTGTCTTGTATTGCAATGGCGGAAAACAACATTTTCTCCTTTAATCCTCTATGTACGCTGCCATTGCCATACAAAAACTAAGGTAAGTGGACTCCAAATTTATTCTTAATTGCCATCTATGATTTGTAGTTAGGATGTTATATTCGTTATTAGGAATGGTTTCAAATAATGGAAAATTACTTATGATTGAATCCTATCTATCTATCTATCTATCTATCTATCTATCTATCTATCTATCTATCTTAGTGTACTCCATTTTACCGCCAAGAATGATTCGTAGTTAACATGATACATTCGTCAGCACAATTGGTTCTCAGAAATGGAAATTACTTATGACTCAACCCAATCTCTCTCTCTCTCTCTATCTATCTATCTATCTATATATATATATATATATATATATATATATATATATATATATATATATATATATATATATATATATATATATATTTATTATCTATCTATCTATTTATCTATCTATCTATCTCAGTTCACTATCTATCTATATCTATCTGTCGATCTATCAATCTTAGTCTGTTCATATCTATCTATCTATCTATCTATCTATCTATCTATCTATCTATCTGTTTATCTCTCTTTGTTTGCTATCTACTTGTCTATCTGGGATCACTTCGTCTCCACTCTCTCTCTCTCTCTCTCTATATATATATATATATATGTGTGTGTGTGTGTGTGCGTTCATATTTTCCTTTCCTTTCTATCTGCCCATATATATATATATATATATATATATATATATATATATATATATATATATATATATTCTTCTCTTTCTATCTATCCAAAAGCGCGCGCACACACATACACGCATATATATGTATATATATATATATATATATATATATATATATAACCCATTTCCTAAACATGTTTCTGTAAGGGTAGAAAGAAATTGAAGATTACTTATAAATGTTGTTAAAATGTCGCCCCACTTGCCTGAAATAAAATTGTCATTCCTAACTTGGCAGAATTTCATTACTAATATTTGTTTTTATTTCAGAGTGTCGAGTGTAGGACAGAATGGCACAAAGCCTAACATTGCATGAGCATTGCATCCCCTGACAAACTGTGGCAGTCCATGGTACAAATGTAGAGATGGTGCTACAGTGTTCATGTTGATGCTAAAACCATCAGAAATTGTCATTTCAAGCTGATGAGTTCGTGATCAGTGGTAGTTGGCTGGTTGTTTTGTTTTATGGCATGTCAAAACCTCAGTGGGTCATTTAATACCATCAAATTTGTTGAAATAAATTCATAGCGATAGTTTGGTAAAAAAAAAAAAAGCTGTCTATGTTGTTAACCCCAGTCTACCCCAGTGAGTAAAATAAAGGGTTCAGATAGACATTCCAACCACCGGAAGAAACCCGGAGCGTACAACGGCCGGAACGTTGTAATAAATATGGCGACAAAGATGAGGACAATAGTCCAAATAATGTAAATAGTTTACATAATACCTCATCTCAGAAATATAGACAGATACTGAAAGGCCGAAATGTTGTAATAAATATGGCGACAAAGATGAGGACAATAGTCCGAATAATGTAGTGTAAATAATGTATGTATGTATATATATATATATGAGTGCGTGTGTGTGTGTGTTCATTTCTCTTTGTTCCTCTCTATCTACGTCAGTCTCTTTATATTCATATATATCTATACATACTCTCTTTATTTCAATTTCGTTAATACCCTATAATGATCCTCACCTGACACGTAAGCTTGTTTCTTTTTTATCAAACACAAACACAGCTAAATAAATTTATCCACATAAGAAAAACACACTTATTAACACGTCCATCACGGCTTTGGCAGTCAATTGTAAATAGCTTCTGCGCTAAGCAACATTGTATTCGATGGCTTCAACAATACACACGGTTCTGGAGAGTTATTTTTACTTTGTTATTTTTTAAACACATTAAATCTTGCAATATGCTTTATTGACTTCTTTGTCGGCTTCTATAGAAGGACGATCAAAAATATACGCGTCAAAATAAATATTTATACAAGTTGCTCGAGAGCATATATCATTCCTTTAAGCCTGTCAATAAATTTTCAATTGACACAAAAATGTCCGACATAAATTTGACAAAATATTTTGATAAACATTCATTGCATCACTCATTAACCGTTAAAGATTTGACCTTGATTTTCTATAAATTGACACTGTATTTAATCTCACCTTCTCTGTTTCCGTCTGTCTGTCTGTCTGTCTACCCCCCATCTCTCTCTCTCTCTCTATATATATATATATATATATATATATATATATATATATATGTCTGTTTATTATCTATCTATCTATCAATCTATCTATCTATCTATCTTAGTCTGTTCATATCTACCTATCTATCTATCTATCTATCTATCTATCTATCTATCTATCTTAGTTTGTTCATATCTATCTGTCTATCTATCTTAGTTTGTTTATATCTATCTATCTACCTATCTATCTATCTCTGTCCTATTCTGCTCATATCTATCTATCTATCTATCTATCATACATACATAATATATATATATATATATATATATATATATATATATATATATATATATATATATATATAGGAAGTAACTTTAATTTTTCTTGTTAATGCTAATGAAATTCTTTTAAAAAATTTTCAAGAAATAATTTGGAAGGTAATTTTAAGGGTGTTGCATCATACATGAGATTTAAAATTAGCGTATGTATTTCTGGCCTTGGCTATGCCGTTGGCCAAACTATATATCCATTTACTCTAGTAAAATTAGCTTCAAAATTAGCTCTTCATTCGCCGCATGATACGCGAGTATATACGGTATTTAGTATATTTGTTCATAAATTTGACAAAATGTTATTAATGATAGGCTGTATTTTTATGCTTTGTCCTTCTAGTATTTGTAATCCTTTTTCACAGTTTATGTGATATAATATTTATACATAATTAGCAAGAATTTGTCAGATTTCTTGTGTTTTGTTGCGTTGTTTGATGCAATGCGACTTAATTGAACTTGAAAGTTAATCGCTGGGATATCTTTATTAACGTAGCCTGTTAATATCTCTCTATCTATATATCTATGTCATATTCTGTTCATATCTATCTATCTATCTATCTATCTATCTATCTATCAATGTCTTACTCTGTTCATATCTATCTATCTATCTATCTATCTATGTCCTATTCTGTTCATATCTTTCTATGTCCTATTCTGTTCATATCTATCTATCTCTTTATCTATCTTAGCCTATTCATTATCTATCTATCTATCTATCTATCTATCTATCTATCTATCTATCTATCTATCTATCTCAACATATTCCTATCTGTTTATCAACATATCTATCTCAGTATGTTCATATCTATCTATCTATCTATCTATCTATTCATATTTACTTTATCTGTCTGAAAACTAAGTAATTCTTTTCCAGAATTTTCCAGAATTTCAGCAAATGCATTAGAAAATCAAGCATAATAAACACACGCACCCACGCTACGCCTGCATAAACACACATTCATATATATATATATATATATATATATATATATATATATATATATATATATATATATATATCCTCTATATACACTCTCGTTATTCTCACTTGCGTATTTCTTTCTCCACCGCAAAAAAAAAAAAACTCTTTTATTGCAAACAATTTTAATATCAAACGAATGCCGAAAGTAAATTTCCTTTTATTCAAAATCAACCAAAAAAAGGAAAACGTTAAAAAAATCGTGAATAAAAAAAAAAATTTAATATCGGAATTCAAAAAATTGTGTTGATATTTTTAAAATGCAGTGCGTTTTCTGTTTTCCTTTGTTTCTTTTCAATGAAATAAAAATAACAAAATGTATTTTCATTAGCTTTCCTCATAGCCCAAACGTTTCTTTATAAAAAATCTCTCCCAAATAGTTTAGTTTACAGGAAAGGCTTGCCTTTTTCATTTTAATAAAATGCGAATATAAGCAGAAACTATTCAGCTAGGCAACAGTCATTGTTCCCCTTTCCGGACACTTCAGTAAATGGAACTTGTAACGACTTTCTTTTCTTTCATGACAGTATGATATGGCAATTCAAAAATTAATGATATGACAGCTCAGAAACGCGAATCACCAAGCCATTGATACAAGATATATTGACGCCATACCTATTTCTATAGATTGACAGAACCACCATCAGTTATTTTGGGCCTTCAATATTACTTATACATTAAGTTGCTTAAATAGATGCGAAAATAATTAAACCTGAGCGACCAATTTAATCTTTTCGCCAAAAAGATCGTTACAGCTTCCATCGATGTTTTTATAATGGAAATTTGTTTTCCACTCATACCCGTCTGTTACGCTGACAGACCAATCCCTGTTGTAGACGCCTGCTCAGGCACATTTGCGTTTGTTCAACACCCACCCGGGGTTTATACTGCAACTATACTGAGCTGGCTTTACTTACAGTTTGAAAACCGTCCGTGCGATCAAACCTCCTGTCATGAAAACCTGAAACACATGTGCCGACGGCTTCCAAAGAGTTCCGCCTATCCAGTTGCACTCACAGGGAAGTCAACTCTTCGATAACACCATTCATATATATATATATATATTACTGACAAATCATATTATGATGAGACACGAACCTGAATCTTACGGTTGGAAAGCAAACATTCTAACCATTCGTATATATATATATATATATATATATATATATATATATATATATATATATATATATATATATATATACTATACTAGGGGCCCGGCGTTGCCTGGGAAGTAACAATAAGTCATAGATCAAGTATGGACCATCATAAAGACTGAAAATAAAATTGACAAAGATTATTGTTTAAGGTTGACGGACACGCATGTCTTAATTAGTTTTTTTTTGGAGGGGGGGTTGTTTTTTTGTTTTTTGTTATTTTTACGAATTGGTCAAACTCAAACAAAAACATTGTTTTCAATCGTTATGAGTCTACCGATTGAATAGAATTTTATTATAAACGATTGTCTTCTAAATGGAATTTTTAAGGCATTCTGAATGTAAAAATAAAGGGAAAAGTGTGCAAGACAATAAGAAACACTACCTGCCCCCCAAATTGTTGAATTCGGTTGAAAACTGTAGGAAATCCAATCCCATATATAAACGAACACACAAACAACCTGGGTTTTATTATAGGTATAACTCGATATGAGTTGTCCCCCTTTCATTCTCGCGATGCCTCTTAATCGTGTTTTCAAATTGATTTCGTGCAAAAACAATTGTTTTTCCAATTTTTGGCGCTGTCAGAACCACCGCAAGGTAATTTTACGTAGTCCTGTGAAGTTTTGTTGAAATCGGTTGAAAAATGTAGGAAATCCGATCCAATATATAAACGAACAGACACACAACCTGGGTTTTATAATAAGTATGATATATATATATATATATATATATATATATATATATATATATATATATATATATATATATACGAAACGAATACCACACCATAATAGTTCACTAATTTATTCCTTTAAATGTAGTTGCAGTTCGCACTACATAGGGGAGAACGACGCAAAGGCTAAATGCTAGAATAAAACAACACGTTCCAGCGAAAATCCGAAACCGGAAGTACACTCTCTCCGGACATTCTGACCAATACGTTTGGGTTTTCCATCGCAGAACACCTTATAAATAGCCATAATTGTGCTGTTAGTTTTAGTGCGGACGCTTTTACCATCCTTAGTATGTTCACTCAAATTACCACCTAAAAGTGTTGGAGGCCATCTATATTCTATCTTTAAATCTTTCTCTTTGTAAACAGAAGGACTTTATATTAGGCCTCCAACTACTTACCATTTAATTTTTTTTTTTTCCACCAATAAACTTTGTCCATTTTTCTTTCTTTTTTTTTATTATAGAATTTAATTTATTTACCTCAATTTAGCTCTGTTAAGCGAGGTACGAAACCGGTTAGCTAGCCCGTTTTTCATTTTGACTTTTTATTATCATGAGTGGTAATAATAAAACTATTTTTTGTCTATTTATGGCAGTGATAAAATTTTGTACAACCAATCATATCTTTATATATATATATATATATATATGGTCATTTTTCTTAATGCTTTGTCAGGGAATGAAAGAAAACAGTCAAAAGACAGAAAACACTAGCATTTTCAATTAATTGTGTTTGGGTCAGTTCTCATTGGTCAGATATGTGTCGCGTGTATTAAAACCGTGGCTAAATCTATGCGTATGTAGGTTTGTGAAGATTCTTGTATGTCTAAGTGCATTCTGTTGAGGATTATTCTAGGCTCGACGAATTACTATATGATTAGTCTAAATCTCCCAAATAATTACTTATATATGGGACTCATCAGCAGTGCGCATCCACTACCGAGAATCGAACCCGGACCGTTTCGATACAACGCAAACGTCATACCAACTGTACCACGGGCCTCGGTGACAAAGACGCAAACTAGACTCGATATAGAGTCGCTTCTCACTCAATTCCATAGCGATAGTCATCCAAGTATTCAGATAACCTCGGAACAGTGCCCCAAGAGCCACGACTTCTTTTTTTACCCTTTTTCGCTCCATCGCAGAGCATTAGCTGGGTCTAGGGAAGATATACAAATGATTACTTGCCACTGCTACTCCTACTTATTATCTATGGGAGAGTCCATTACAATAGAATAGGTACTATGGCATAACAGAGACAGACAGACAGACAGAAAGAGAGAGATCTTTTTTTTTATTTTCAATGCATTCACTAGCATTTTGTACTAGTTATTCTGTTGGTGTATTCAGTTTCGCTCTTCATTACTTCAGAGTGGTGAGTTCGATCCTCACTAGGTGTCCTATTCTTGTAGCTAAGCTTAGTTAATGACAATACATAGTAATATGAAAAATAACTTCAGAAAATATCGAAAGGCCGAAGAATGTATCGACCGAAACGTTCTGCTTAAAAAGGACAAAAATCTAGACAATCGTCTCCAAAAGATATACTGATTTTCTAAGCCCGGCTTAGATGTGGCACAAGGCCGAAAATATGCAGCACTCAGTGAGGATTGAACTCACTACTCAGTCGTAATTCATCTAGCAAGACAAGCTTTCTAACCATTACACCACGTCGAGGTACCCATCGTCTCCAAAAATTTATGCAACAACAATAATAAAGAAAACATAGTTTAATAAGCGCTACAGGGTGACCCAAAGGTTACTGACCCATGAAAAAAATTCATAACTATTTTATTTCTGAATATTTTTATTTTATTTTTTCAGAGTCTTTAGAACTGCCCTTCTGACGTCACCATGAGCAGATATAGCATCGAGGAATGAACCCTTATTGTACAGTGTTACTTTGAGTCCCATGGGTCAATTTCGGAAACGCAGCTTTCTTAGCGTCGACATTTCAATACCAGAGAAGCCCCGAGGAATAGTTAGCCGTTTTCAGGAGCAGGGTGCAGTTTGCGATCTCTCAAGATCTGGAAGGACTTGTACGGCAAGAACTGTTGAAAATCAACGAGAATTGGAGCGAATCCTGGAAGAAAATCCATCTGTTTCAACCAGGAGAAGATCGATACAAATGGACGTTTCGCGTTCCTCCTTACAAAGAATGTTGCACGACATGGACATATTTCCCTACAAAATGCAGCTTGTACAGCAGCGTCAGCCTCAGGATTATGAACAAAGATTGGAATATGCAATGAGACTGCAGGATTTAGTGAACGGTGAGCCTGGTTTCCTTCAAAAGTTGATCATGTCAGACGAAACCCATTTTCATCTTAATGGTTTCGTCAATAAACAAAACTGCAGAATTTGGGGATCTGAGAATCCCCAGCTGATTCAGCTGCACCAGATGCAACCTGTTAAATGTTCTGTATGGTGTGGAGTAAGAGCAACTTAAATTATTGGCCCTTTTATCATTGAGGATGAGACTGGAAATCAGACAACCGCGTACGGGAGCCTCGATACCGCTCCATGATTCAAAATCTTTTGAAACCATGGATACAGGCCTAACAAGAGCAAATGTGGTTCCAACAAGATGGAGTTCACTGCTCATACTGCAAGAGAGACTATTCAAATGCTCCAAAACATTTTTCAAGATCGAATTATCTCAAGGGGTTGCGAAATAAATTGACCAGCTCGATCACCAGACCTGACAATCACCAGACCGATTTCTTCCTGTGGGACTACCTTAAAGAGAAGGTGTTTTTGAATAAACCTCACACAGTAAATGATTTAAAACGCAATATCAAGGATGAAATAAAAGCCATAAGCCCAGAAATTCTTTCAAATATAATACAAAGTGTGTTAGAGTCATTCAGTGCGAAACCGAAAATGGTGGACATTTAAAAAACATTATTTTTAAAAATTAAGACATTTTGTTGTATGGTGTATCGTAATTGCCAAAATGTACATTGCCGAAAATCTCAAAAGTATCATTTTACCTACTCTTGATATTTTGTAAGTATAACTTGAGAATTATAAAGGTTATTAAAGATTAAAAAGGGTACCTTTTTTTTTTTTTGGAGTACCCTGTAAATAAACTATATTGAGTTTATTTAGTAAAATTATGTGTAGTGCCAAGTTCCGCTGACTAACTCTGCAACATAAGCTTCCTCGGCATACGAAAGGGTGTTGGTTGATAAATACCCACGCCTCTGTGGGTATGGTGGGGAAAGACTGGGTCATTTTTGTCCTTACCTTAGAAAGACAACGTATGGCACTTAACTGATTGACTTATGTGAGTGAGTTAAGTGCTATACCTTGTCTTTTGATATATGACTGACGAGGCAGATTTTTTGCCCGCAGTAGGTTTGTATTTCTATCTACGGTAGACTAGTTGCCAACCAAGGCTAAAGAACCCAGTCTGTCCTGCCAGTCAACGCAGGCTGCGTGGGGGGGTAGAGAAAAGATGGATTCATACATTTTCCCACGTTTATTGGTGCGTAAGTGAACTTAAAGAACTCGAGTGGGATTCGAACTAGGCTCTACGTTTTACCCACTCAAAGCCGAGATCCATTACAGCACAACGCATGTATATTTTATAGAGTAAAAATACCAGCCATAGATATCTTTAAATTATTACCAGCAATAGATCTGACTTTCCACAAAAACCCTCTTTACAAAACTACGTCAATGAAACCTAATATACAAACTGATTTCTTACAAAAAGTTCATATTCTATTCATACGAACCTATTCTGAAAATCTTGTCATTCTAAAAACCTTGTCATTGACATTTATATGCTGTAAAAAAAATTAACCAAACCAACAAACTGATTTCTTACAAAGAGTACATATTCTATTTATACGAACCTATTCTAAAAATCTAGTCGGCATTAAATAACCCATAGAGGTGTTGATATGCCGTAAAACAAAATAAACCAAACCAATCTAAACCAAAGAATATATATTCTATTCATACGAATCTATCCTAAAAATGTTGTCGGCATTAAATAACCCATTGAGGTGTTGATATGCCGTAAAACAAAATAAACCAAACCAATCTAAACCAAAGAATACATATTCTATTCATACGAATCTTTCCTAAAAATGTTGTCGGCATTAAATAACCCATTGAGGTTGATATGCTATAAAACAAAAAAAAAAAACCAAAGAATACATATTCTATTCAACGAATATATCCTAAAAATGTTGTCGGCATTAAATAACCCATTGATTCTATAAAACAAAAAAAAAAAACAATCTAAACCAAAGAATACATATTCTATTCATACGAATATATCCTAAAATGTTGTCGGCATTAAATAACCCATTGAGGTTGATATGCCGTAAAACAAAATAAACCAAACCAATCTAAACCAAAGAATACATATTCTATTCATACGAATCTATCCTAAAAATGTTGTCGGCATTAAATAACCCATTGAGGTTCATATGAAACAAAATAAACCAAACCAATCTAAACCAAAGAATACAATTCTATTCAAAAATAAAAATGTTGTCGGCAAAATAACCCAATTGATATGCTATAAAACAAAAAAAAAAACAAACCAATCTAAACCAAAGAATACATATTCTATTCATACGAATCTATCCTAAAAATGTTGTCGGCATTAAATAACCCATTGAGGTTGATATGCCGTAAAACAAAAAAAAAAAACAATCTAAACCAAAGTATACATATACTATTCATACGAATCTATCCTAAAAAATGTTGTCGGCATTAAATAACCCATTGAGGTGTTGATATGCCGTAAAAAAAAAACCAAACCAATCTAAACCAAAGAATACATATTCTATTCATACGAATCTATCCTAAAAATGTTGTCGGCATTAAATAACCCATTGAGGTTGATATGCTATAAAACAAAAAACAAACCAATCTAAACCAAAGAATACATATTCTATTCATACGAATCTATCCTAAAAATGTTGTCGGCATTAAATAACCCATTGAGGTTGATATGCCCGTAAAACAAAATAAACCAAACCAATCTAAACCAAAAGAATACATATTCTATTCATATTCTATCCTAAAAATGTTGTCGGCATTAAATAACCCATTGAGGTTCCTTATGCCGTTAAACAAAATAAACCAAACCAATCTAAACCAAAGAATACATATTCTATTCATACTAATCTATCCTAAAAATGTTGTCGGCATTAAATAACCCATTGAGTTTGATTGAAAACAAAATAAACCAAACCAATCTAAACCAAAGGTGTTGATTAAATAACCCATTGAGGTGTTGAAAAAACAAATAAACCAAACCAATCTAAACCAAAGCATCTATTCATACGAATCTCTGCTAAAAATGATGTCGGCATTAAATAACCCATTGAGGTGTTGATATGCCGTAAAACAAAATAATTCAAACCATATCCAGGCTAATAACATGAAGTAGTCACAATCCTATCAAATTAACCATGGTTAGATTCGAACCCATATTTCATGATCGGAAAGTGAACGTTCTCTCGCGACTAAGGCATCCTAAACCAACCTTGTGTCGAGGAGAAAGATATATTTGTGTGTCCGCTCAGTAATATTAAGCAAATCAAGATGTTTCTTCTATCTTTGCGCCATTTTCAAGTGTATTTTTCCTTCGTTTTCTCAATTCCATCATAGCTTTTTCTGTGGACTCTCTCCCACCACGCGAAGCTTAGGTTGGCTGCTTCGACAATTACGCTTGGTGAACGGTAATATTTTCATCGTGTTCATTTTAACGTAAATACACTATAGGAAAAAGAGAGAGAGAAAGAGAGAGAGAGAGAAAGAACGAAAGAACAGGTACGGAAAGAAAAGAAGAAGAAAAAAAGGACAGTGTTAGAGAGGATATTATATCCACCATGCCAAGCCATAGTATTCAATGGCTGACTGGTTTTGCCAGCGTGGCTGTCTACTTTCTGCTGCAGCTATGGTGACCTGGTCTTGTGATAAAGCCGACCCCACCCTTACAGTACACACTCAGTTCTTTCTCGTCTTTCTCTTTTCTATTTCTCGCCTCCTAATTGGTTTTTTTCTTCTTTCCATTCTTCCCTATTTCTAAAAAGCAAAGTACATTACCCCAAAGCAATACGACCAAGAAAATAATCTCTTTATTTTTACCTCGACTCATATTACGCGTACCTCACAATTTTAACTGTTTTCTTTTTCAAGCTTATAGCAAGACAATATTACTTTAGCGGAAATAGAAGTTAGGAAGATTTTAATGTGTCAGTCCTCCATTGGAGGAGGGCCTATTTACCTCTTTTTTTCTTTTTTTAATCATTTCACTCTAAGCAAGGTAATAAAGCCACTAAGCCACTAGAGTTTACTAAGTATGAAAGAATATGAGAAAAAGGAAAACATCTTTAAGGAGAGAAGACAAAAAAAAAAGAATAGGAATTAAGAAGATGACGATTGATTTTGCATTTAAATTTACACTTTTGCCTGATCGCGGCCATTATCGAAGTAACGCTTGTAATTTGATTAGCAAACTAGGCTTTTCTCTTCTTTTTTTACTAATGTTCACCTAATAGAAGGCTCAAGAGCTACCCAAGGTAGAGGGTTACTTAATGAGGGGTGTGATATGAATGTAAATGTGTATGAAGTGAGTTAATGTAGGATAGACAAAGATTGATATTTTTTCAATGTGTTTTTATCAACTTTTCAAGACAATACTTAAAGAAAATGATACAGTAGCGTCCATCACTAATCCGGCACCATTGATGCCTGTATTATGTCAGGCAAGTCATTGTACCGGATTACTGATTGTTACGCTAAAACAGACTTATCCAAAATGTTAACCACTTCATCCTACTAAGTATAAAATGGAAATAAAATGTTGGCTAATAAGATGTTGGCAAATAAGATGTTGGCTAATAAAATGCTGTTTACAAAAATGTTGATTATTAAAGGAAAAAGAAGAATTAAATGAAAACCAAATGAAATGTCGGTATATTAAAATAGAAACTAGTTAAACATCTTCATAAATTTCAATTAAAGTTTACCATCCTTAAAACCTAGCAAGCACTCACATTGCGTATGTGCTGATCGAAATACGAAAGTGAATTTTAATAAAAAATGGAGCTACGAAAATGTCTTTCTAAGAAAACTGGACAGTTAGACATTTAGTCGAAATTTGAAAAGTGTGTCGGACAGAGAAATTTTCAACATACTCTCGCATATGAATAAACATGCATGAAATTCCAGTGACTTTATTTGGGCGACATATTTAGATTTATACGCGACATTTTTTTAACGTATTTATAATGAATAAT